GACAGCATGTCAATTTTTGCAAGCGAAACACACAGAATCATTACAAGATTGTTTTTGGGATAATTCCAACAAAGTAGGACTTAATAAAAACATTTAGCAAGAGGGAATCATAAGCACTTACAGCTATTTCTGATACCAATTTAAGACAGTTGGTAATTATAAATTTAGAATTATACTTTTAATCAGAGCTCCTTTTCAAATTTTCCTGTTTTGTTCTAATCCTAAGGGTAAATATATGGCTACGTTCTACATCCTCTTTTGTACAATAGCAGTGAGTGATTACAATGTGTTTAAGCAACAAGACAGTAAAATCACAGCATGTAATATTCCATAAACAGAAAGGGACCTGTTTGGCAGCTCCAACCAGAGCAGCATGAAACTCCTTAAAGCAACTAGTCCCAAGAGCACCATAAAGCACAGCAACCGGACTTCCAACGCTCGAATCAAAATGAACATGATCAAAATCAAACAGTTGCGGCCTCTGAATCGAACCAGCAACCCTAACGACAAAAAGCAGCAGCAGCAGCAGCATACAATTAATTAAGCAAGAATAACTTGAGGAATCGAAACAAAACAAAGCAGCAGCACAGTACTAACAACTTATCATCGGTTTCGAGCCAGGAGAGCAATTCGGAAACCTCGAAAAAAAGGTTGTGACCGGTGTCGACCCAGCAGCATTTCCCTCCAGGGCTTTTGAGGCTCTCGCCAGCACGCAAGGGGTCTAGTTCGGTAATTTGAGCATTGCTGCTACGAGTGAGAGAATCGTGCGCCAACTGGCGGTAGAGCACGAGAGCAGGGGAAGCTGATCTGAGAATGAGAGAGAACTCGAACAACGAGGCCAACGGTTCTCGCAGAAGAGGACGCGAATGTTCGAGAATCCTGTTGACGCAACTTTTGGCGGAATGAGATTGCGCGGCGTGGTGATCGGCATTGAGCCAAACGTGAATGAAGTTCCAGAAGAGGCGCTGGTCTTCTTTGGATAACAATTCGCTGCGAATGAAAAAGCAACAAATGAATTTGAATCATTATTTGATTTCGTTGAAAAGAGAAAAAAAAAACAAAAAAGGAGATTGGTGTTACGAACCCGGCTTCAAGGAGCAAGGGAGTGGCGGACCACTTGGCGCGAAGGGCAGTTTGGACATTTTTGGGGCTGGGAGGGCGAGAGAAGGTTGGAGCGATGGCGGCGAGGATGAGGATGAAGATGAAGATGAGAAGGGGAGATGGAGATCTAAAGCCCATTGCCATTGTGTTTGTGGTTTAGGGTTTGTTTGGTACGGACATCGACAGAGTGAAGTGAATCAGATCAGCGTCACTCCGTGAGTGAGTCAAGAGGACAAACACACACACACTCCCACCTTCTTCAACTCTTCTCCTTCTTGTCACTTGTTAAAAACCTTTTTTTTTTTTTCATTATATTAATGTAACTTAACTTTACTTTCTTAATATGCGAGTGCCTTTTGTATTTTTTATAGCAAATGCATCACCATGTTTTATCTACAAAATGAAATAAATATTTTTTAACCTTTTATCTTTTTAATATATTATTTTTCATATTTTTTTAAATATTATTAACAGTTAAAAATATATTTATATGCTAATATAAATCATTTGTCACTAATATAAAATATAATTTATGTACCAAAAGAATATAAAATATAATTTATATTCTCAAAATTAATTATTTATTATAAACATTAGTTAGGCTTAAATAATTTTTTTCGTTTCTACAAAATAGGAGAGTTTTGTTTTCAGTATTTAAAAAAAAATCATCTTTGTAAAAAAAAAAATTGTTGTTCCTGTTAGATTAAATGTTAAAGGAAAATAATATTATATTATTTCTAAGATTGGTAAGTTTTTCCGTGTAATTACACAAATAAACAAGTCTACAAATTTTTAATATTTTTCTCTCAAATTTTTAGTTCTTTACATTGATTAAGAAATATTATATCTGGTCTTCTATATGAAAAAAAAAAACAATTAATTAATTGGTTAAGACAGATAAAAATAATTAAATTAGTCAATTTTACTTAAAAATATTACAAAAATATTTTTTAAAAATTTTCATTTGAATTAGATGATTTAAGAAATAAGAATCAGATGAAATTATACATTTCTATTAAAAAATATATATTAATAACACTATTTTTAATTCAAAAGTTTTACTTCATAATTTATAGACTTGAAATGCATCCATTTGTATAAGTGTTACGTAACTGACCCATTAATATAAATATAATAGGGTTTCATTGTAAATAAATATAATAAAGGAAATCGGTAACTAATATATTTTAAATCTTAAATTGAACATGTGTTTCTTATGATAAGATTAAAAAATAATACTTCATCTATCTCATGTCATTTCATACAAACCAAAAAAGTTAATAAATAAATAAAAAAGAATAATAATTTTTAAATTTAATCTTGTGATTAATTTTTTTACTTAAATCGATACAATACAATCACTATTTTCTAAAAAAATATTACGAGGGGTATAAATGAAAAGGAGGTAATGTTAAGTCAAAAAAGATAATTTAAATTTCTTAAATTTAGAATTTTTATGCTAACAAATAAAACGTTTTTATAAAGAATAAATATTTGCAAAAATATTTTTAAACATATATTTGAAAAGTTTATTAGATAAAGTGTAAGACACAGATCATTCGTAAAACTTTATAAATCAGATGAAGCATACAATCTTTGCTTTACATTGACATTGTTTCTATAAGCTTTGTTTGATATGAAAAGTTATCAAGTAACCTTCTTGACCAAATAAAAGGTACCATTTGATAAAATGCATTTAATGTTCATATTAAATAATGAGTCGAACGATCACTTGCTACACAAGAAAAGACGAACGAAACAAACTTGTGAGTTAAGTTCAAAGTGTTTCATTTGCAACAATCATCTTTTCCAAGCTATTATATAAGAAGAATCAAAGCACAAAAAATAAAAGAATTTGCACAAGGGACACTAATTTTAAGTGCTCGATATACATTTATCTAGAATCTCTCTTTGTAAATCAATTTTTTTTCTTGTAAACACTCGTTGCGAACACAACATTGTGTAACTTTCATAACCATTATTATAAAATTGAGTTTAGAGAGATTTGCTTGAAAAAGAATAATTATTTTTGAGCTTGGAGAGACTTGAATGTAAAAGAATACTTAATTGTTGGGCCTTGAGAGATTTGTTGTTAGAAAAATACTTGGTATTCGCTTGAAGAGAAGTCAAAAAAAAATTAGAATTGAGTTAAAAATAACTTGTTGAAAGAATATTTGTATCTTTATTTAAAAATATAGAATTCAATCAGCTTGGACTAAGAACCGGACGTGGTCGATGAACCAGTGTAAAAAATTTCAAATTTTCATTTGACTATTCTTCATACTCCTTCTAACTAGTGTTACTATTTCACTAAGAAAAAGTACGAGTTTTTGATACACATTATTCAACTTTTTTTATTGTTTATCTTTCTCCAAGGTAGTTATACTACATTGAAAATTAACATGACACTTATTTTTTTGTTAATTTTTTTTTTAAACATGACACTTATTATGGAACTGAGAGAGTGCTACTCATTTGTTTCTTATACGTCCTCTATTTCAAAACTTTGGCCTTTTAGTTTTGTTTGAAAACCTTGATTCTTTTGGGAGTCTAACACATTTTTTTATGTAATTTTTAAAATTATACCCTTACATGTAGTTGAGTAATTAAGATTAATTTAAGAAGAGCATTAGGGTCTCTTTGATTTGAAAGAGGGGACAGGAGGAGAAGAAAGAATTTTTAATTGAGGGTAATTTTATGTAAATAAATACAAATTAATTATTTCTTAATTTATCTGTAAAAAATTAAAAGAATCAATTTTTTTTTAATTTTATTAAAAAGAGTATAAAAAACCGGAAGTAGTATTCAATAAATATAAATTTGAAATAAAACACATTTATTTAATATTTCATCATCTCAACTATTACATCATTTTTATAAGATATCAAAATGTGAACAGATGACAGAAAGAATGTCTATTAAATAGGGAGTATGAAATAAACTACTCATTTTATAAAGATACAACTTGAAGCACCGTTGGATTTAGGGAGTTAAAACTAGAGTCAAACTATAAAAGATAAAGATGAAACAGAATCACACAATAGAATCAAACATAAAAAAAGTACAAGAGTGGAGAATATTTATGTCGAAACGACCAACCAACAAGAACTTTATGATACACGTGTTTTGAAAATTTCTAAATTTGATTTGATATTTGAGCGAATGCTTATGGGTATAAGGAATAAGACTTGGTCAATGTTAGCAAATTTGCTCGTAAATGAACATGAGTTGGATTTAGAGAGATTATCGAAAGATGACCATGAAAGAATTCGAACCTTAACCACTTTTCCATTCCATTCTCCACACTAAAAATTAAAAATCATAAAACAATTAGATAATTAGGAGTTAATTTGTGTCTTGCATTTTAGCCTTATCATAACCCTCAACCAATATTGTTTGTCCATAGCAGTTGGTACTTCGCCACAATTCTGATTGAAAACAACAACTTTACTTATCACTCTACTACTTGTTTGTCCAGATAATTCTGGTGCTTTTAGAGAGAAGAGAACCCCAAATCCATTGCATTTATGAGCATAAAAATACAAAACTATACATGTTTTATACATAATTTTTACAAGATTTGAAAACTATCTAAAATCTTCATAATATTCAAAACTGTTTTTACTGGGGGTAAACAGAGCAAAAGGAAAACAAAAATACTTTTGTTCTGTTCAATGGCCTGCATATGAAATAAAAAATACTAGGCTAAATTCTGGAGTTGCAGATCTCTATCAAGGGCTTAGCTCTCACTAATTGACCTGTTTTAAAAACAACGAAATGGTAAATTATTTACGTCAATCCAACATAGGATAACATAGGAAATTTAACAAATAACAGAAAACGGGAGAGACTTTCTCTAAGGAAAAAGAAATTGACAAAAACAACCCAACACACTTGAATTTGTAAAAAAGTAACATTTCCCTTTATATACAGGAGTCTTTATTTGTGACTTCGTTTTACAAGAAAATAATGAAAAATGCAACCTTCTTTTTACAAGACATTTTTCTTATGTCCTAAACTCCTACGTTTAGCTATTTAAGGGATCCTTATCTTCCTTGGATTATAATGATGCCCTGCTAACTGCTAATTTTCTTCCTTGTTGGCATTTGTTGAGGCAAATAAGATCTGTCCTAAAGTCATTGCTAGCTTCAATCTTGAGATCTTGAGAGCAGTTGATGGGAGGAAATTTATTTGTCTCACACTTATCAGTTAATTAACCTCAAATGAACTGAAGTGGTGTTACCAAACATGTATAATTTGACATGTGGCAAGCCTTAGAATTGAAACACCTTCCATTTTTTTTTTTTACATTTTAAGCAATACAAGGGAACTTCTTCATTACCTGAGCATGTCTCCAGTTTGCAATTTGGGGCCGCTTAATGCTGGAGATATGCTAAAAGTACTTCCATCATTATAAAAAGAAGGATGGCCTAAAGGCATAGGCCGATCTGGGATTTGAGGAACCTCAATATCACCCTCCAACATCTTCAAAGCATCGGCAATTGTTGGCCTCAAAGCAACCATCACATGGGAGCACAGAATTCCCACCAGCAAAAACCTCTCCATTATGCTCTTAGGATTTGAGCTAGGAAAGTTTTCATCCTTCACCAAGGAACCATCCAATGCCTCCTCTATCTTCCCAGCCTTCACCAATGACCAAGCCCAATCTGTGATCAAGAATGCCCTTGGTGATCCTGATGAAGACAAATCAAGAGCCTTTCTTCCACACATTATCTCCAAAACAACCACACCAAAGCTATAGACATCACTTTTCTCAGTTAGTTGACCATAGAGTGCATATTCCGGGGCTAAATATCCATGAGTTCCAGCCACTCTAGTAGTGAGATGAGACTGACCCTCCCTACTTTGTTTAGCAAGTCCAAAATCAGCAACTCTAGCTCTCATATCTGAATCAAGTAGTATATTAGTGGCTTTGATATCCCTGTGGTAAATTGCAGGTTTAACTCCATAGTGCAAATAGGCCAACCCCTTAGCCACATCCAAGATAATGCTTTTCCTCTGAGGCCAAGTCAATGACCCTTTTGCTTTCTGAGATTCCATTGACACAAAGAGATGATCCTCCAAGTTCCCATTTGGCATGTAATCATACACAAGATACCTTTGGCTTCCCCTTTCATCATATTTCTCACTCTCCTCAGCCACACAACAACCCCTAAGAGGCACCAGATTCCTGTGCTTCAGGTTACTAATAATCTCTACCTCATTACAAAACTCAACATCCCCTTGAAAATCAGATTCCAAGATCCTTTTAACCGCCACCACAGTCCCATCAGACAGGGTTCCCTTGAACACCAACCCAAATCCACCTCTCCCAATGAAGTTCTTGGATGAAAATTTATCAGTAGCCTTCTCAAGTTCCTCAATCTTGAACCAAATAGACCCTGTATTGGGTCTCAACCTAGGCCTAGACCCTTGTTCCTCAGGGTCAAAATCAAATTGATCAAAAGTCTCGAGCTTTTTCCTCCTATGCTTCTTGTCATACCACACATATAACCCCAACAAAGAAGACATCACCAACAAAGCAACCCCAGCTCCTGTCAAGCCAAACACAAGAGCCTGGTGACCCTTTCCCCCAGACCCCCCTTGTGAATAAACCGATATGCTAAAAATGCAAGTGACAGCACCATTGCTTTCAGGTCCAAACTCATTCACAATCCCAGCAGCATAGAGAATGGCAAAGTAGAAACAATCAATGGAATGTGAAGAATTACCTGATGAGATACAAACAAAACCACACATTATTAGAACAAAATAATGAACATGTGTTTAGAAGCACACAAAATCTCCATTGAAACGAAAGCCGTATCCATCAGAGTTTAAACTCAAAAGTGAATATTATCCTCCCAATGTGAGACATGTGTGAATACTTGTACACAACAAGATATAAACATAACGCTCATCTTAAAAAATATATTTCCACACAAACAAATACAAAAACATCCCGTCATTACCATCAATGGAAATAAGCTCCTGCTTGACCTGTAGCCCTGCTCCCAGACACACATCACATTGGGAGAGATCACTGAGATCTGGTCTGCAAGCAGTTTGGAGAGGTGTGGACTGGCCAAGCTTTTTGTTCCAATCATTGATGGTCTGAATCCCAGCACATATGTTGGGGGAGATGACAAACTGAAGAGGGTCAAAGCATGACTCGGCAAGGTTTTTGGGGAGAGAGAGGGAAGAGAGCTTGGATTGGAAGTCTTGGATGCATGAAACGGAGGTGGCAAGGTTGGGGAGTTGGAACTGAGAAGTCTCTTTGAGGTGCTGTGCAAGTCCTATGCCAAAGAGGGACAAGAGGGATATGCAACAATTGTTTGCATCTGTTCCATTTTTTGATGCCAATGATTGTTGGAAGTTGTGGCAAGCAGAAGTGTTCCACGGAATTCTCAGCACATAATTGAGGTCCATAGGGCACGTGGATGCGGATGGAGCAGGCGCAGCCGAACTCATGCATGGAAACAGTGCAAACATCAAGGGTAGCATCACACCAACAAGCTTCATGCCTTTGGAACAAAGAAATAACATGTGGTGACACAACCTATGCTACACGGAGCTTGATGTTTTTGTTTCTATTTATGAATCTGGTGATTTGTGGGATTGAGGTTAAGGGAGATGAATGAATGATGATCATAAAGATGGTCAAAACTCCAAAATCCAAATCTATTGTGTGTGCTTGCTGGCTCTGTGTGGCTGCGTTAGGTGGTATGCGATGATCAACTTTCGAGAGAAGAGAGTGCACGCAACGCGCGACGTCAGTCCAAAGCAACAATAAAGAATTCAAGGCTGTCCATGCACGCGCTTTTCTAATGGCGGTGCCTGGGGCGGCTGCAATATTTCTTGCTACTTGCTTAGTTAGTGAGGTTCTCTGACTTTGCCACTTTGCTTTTCTAAACAATCACAATAATGCTAATACTTAAATTCTAATCTCTTAATTAACTTTATTAGATTTAAATCTTATTTTATATATAAAAAAAAGTATTTATGGGATGTGGACTACCAATAGTAACAAACAAACATATGTGAATGAAAGGGATATTCATTTTTCAACTTTTCACACGTTGTCTTTCACACGAATAATATACTTGTTTGTATAGGGGCTGATGTAATTGTCGTTGAATTTAACACAAATAAGAGAGAGAAAGAAACAAGTTGTCTAGAAGAAATTCGCACTTCATAATAAGTAGTTATTTTATATTTTAATTAAGTACTAATATCTTAACATTGTAAAATTGATTATGGAAATATCAAGAAGTGGAGCCCATTTATAGTAGTGCATGAAGAGAAAAGAAGGGTAGGGTTGAAACGTAATGATGGTGTGGGTGACCATAGTCAATGAGTAAGTAAGAGTAATGGAAATCCAGTTGTGTGTAATTAATAATTTTGGTGTCTTTGGAAGAATTATTATTCTCACCATTGGACAGAGTAATTGTTGAATTCAATGCAGTTGCTCTCATCTTCCACTTTTCATGAGTCTAAGTCAGACAGGTTATTGGGCCGGACTATGACCAATTGAGTCCGAATCGAATCCAACTTTGGACTCGGTAAAAAAACAAGTTTACTTTATTTGGTTCTTAAAATAAAAAATTTAATTTATTTAATTTAATCAATTCTCATAATATTTAACTAACAAAAATACATTCTAAAGATAGATTATTTTTTAATTATTAACTTTAAGATATCATGTATTATGTTCATAAAAAAAATCATTTTTTTTATAAACAAAATAGAATTAACAAGAGTATAAAGGCTACTCTAACCTATATACACATAGTATTTTACAAAAATAAATTAAGAAAGTTAATCCAATCTACGTCATCCCAAAAGTTCACAAAAAGAACGACTTAATTAACTAATATCCAACAAGCTTCTCGTATCCCATAAAGCTAACAGCCAATGTACAATATTAAGAAAGGCAGATACTAGGAGAATTGGACCAAGAAAAGAAATTATACTTGAAAGAAGGGAATCTGGCCCTTAACCATCTCCATGAGCGTAATTGTACCAGATTTAGCATTTCAGAAACAGAAATTATTTTAGAGCTGAATATGAGATCATTTCTTGCCAGCTAGATGGTCCGAATAACAGATAACCAGATAAGAATCTAACAATTTTGATACTTCGCAGAACAATAATGAAGCCCATAAAACTGTTCCAAGTTTTGCACACAACAATTATGCATAACAGAATTTAATCCTAACCAATTGAAGCACGCCATCAGAGCTGAAAAGAGACCTCACCCTCAAAAAACAAGTGAGAAGAAGTTTCTTCCTTATTCCTACACAAACCACATTCAAATGGTGTTGCTTGCAGAACCCCTCTTCTAAACAAATTACCTTTAGTTGGGATTCTATTCAAAATAACCCTCCAAGCGAAAGCTGAAACTTTTGTTGGAGCAATGCTAGTCCATATCCACCGAAATATGATAAAAAAGAAATTGTATGAGAGATGAGTAAATTATTTTAAAATATTTAATCATAAATGAAAAATATAAAAGAATATTATCAATTACTACATATTAAAGTGAATCAATATTTTTATACTTAGAACTAAAGAAGAATATGTATTTGTTTCCTTATCCAAAAGACATGAGGTATAATTTATCTCACTCGATCAATTAATTATAAAGATAAATAGTACCTTCAGTTGTATCTTCATGTTCAATTAGAAAATTGAATCTTAAGCTTTGGTTAAGAAGTACAAGTGTTAAATCACATATATTAATGTACCAAAATAATAATGAAAATTAATGTACAAAAAAAAAATCACTTATATATATTAACAATTTTAAAAAAATTGTAAATTAAATTATTTCCTAACCAAAAGTTGTAGACTAATCTCTTAATAAGGTGTCAAGATCCATTTAATGGGTTAAGTTATCCTAATAAACAATTTTCTATACACACAAATAGGATATTAAACTTCTAATCGTCTATAACCATATCACACATTGTTGGTGAAAACTTTAATTTTATAATTTTTTTCTCATAATAAAAATTTTCCTAATTTTTTATACAAACTAATAAAAATTAATAAGTAGATTAAAAAATATTTAAAAAATATTATTATTAATCTTCTTTACTATAAATAATATAACACAATAATAACTTTATAAAAAAAATATTTTTAGGTATATATATATATATATATATATATATGAAAAATTAAATTAATATTAAATTGAAAAGTTAAAAAACACTTGTTTTGAAATTTAATATAAGTATAACGACCCGGCTGGTCACTACACGCTACACCGTACACTAGAAACCGGACAGAAAAGAACAAGTGTATACATATAGTGTCTAGAATATACATATATACATGTTCAAGTCTGACTAGATTCAAAATGTACAAAAATACGTCCAGAGCTACTATACCCAGTAGCTAAAACACCAAAACGTCCATAAGAAATAAGCTCTATCTGCCAGCTACAGACCTGCCACAAGCCACCAACCTATCCCTGCTCTGCTCCCATACATAGTATGATCATCGCAGTCCAAACCACATGGAAACAACAAGGGTAAGCTAGTGAAAGAAACAACATACATATACATAAATTTAAGAATAGTAAACAGCTACAGCTATCAGAACATCCATTAGCCTAACAACATCAGCTATGTATATATATATTTATAACATCACACATCTCACATCATTCCACAATAACAACAGTACACATCGATAAATAGTAGTAAACACACAATGCGTCGTCACACATATTTGCTCGGAGATCTCCTACAACAGCTCAGCCTTACGGCCTACAACAGCTCCTATCAGCACGGAGCACAGCACCGACTTAGCGGCTATAACAGCACCACAATAGTGGCTAACAGCACCGACATAGCGGCTATAACAGCACCACAATAGTGGCTAA